GCCACTGATCTTCTTTCTGACTCAAATACTGACCAACACTCAAAAATTAACTTTATGTTTTATTTAATATGAACTGTAAACGACTCAAATCATCAGGATCGTATTTACTGAGCTCAGCTAAGCGAGAGAGTAGAGGGCCCTTTTTCCATATACTTCTATGCAGCCAAAAGGCTTTGCAACTAGAGTTGTCGCCCCCTGCTGACCATTGAAAATAATGCAGGTTTAAGGGACTTCCACAAGCTATATTCATGTTTTTTACTGTCTGGTCTCAATCACTGTTATAGCATACAGATATTCATTTTGAAAACTATGGAAATATTTACAGTAAAGACAATAAAGTGGGGTATTATTTGGGGTGTGGTTACTTTGTGATCGGCAGGTACCTACTGTGTGACTGTGCAATATGTTTTATTTCTGTGTTTGGTTTACCTATCACACGTGATGGCCAGTTTCAAATTTCTTCGGTCGATTTAGAGGTCACTTTTACCGGCTACTAAAAAAACAAGCTTCACAATTTTATAACGCTTGTCACACCGGCAAAAAAGAAGGTTTGCGATATCCCTGCAAGTAGGAAAATCAGTGGTCAACGAGCGATTGCACTCATTTGTGGTAGTTGGCAGTTGCACAGGTTACTTGGTGGGAGGCAACCTGTCTCCAACCAATCACAGCCTGACTCAAACTGACTGCAATCACTTTCAAACAGATTAGCAAAGGTTTGCTAATATTTGAAGTCTAATTTATAAGCACAAATGGATTTGCCAAGATATTGACAGCAACTTAGTCAGACTACACCGAGAAGTGCAACTCGTCTGCAACTGGTCTCTTTGAAATAGCAGACCTGACTAACTTGTCTGCCAAGTGGTCGTAATCTGGTTATATTCCTATAAAAACAAGACTGTGTCATGATGTTTTGGCACCATTTGTATCTTGTTATCTATAAGCACCCTATAAGCAATCTTGTGTATATGTTATTAGCACCACCTGTCATACAAATTGAGCTCTAAAGTGCTATAGGAGGTTAAAGAAATTCCAGGGAGGACCTTCATCAATGTATCTGGAAAAGTGGACTTACATTTTCCATAACAGCAGCTTCAAACTTACTAATACTGTTCAGAAAAATCAAATGACATATATAACATATTAATGTAACGTTGTAGCATGTCATTAAGAGAAAAATTCTAATCTAATCCGAATTGGCTATTTCTAACGTTAGCATCCATTTAAAGATGAAATATCAGCGACTTTGAAACATGTGTTAGCTGTGACCGGCGATTGTTACATATCTTAAAAATGAGTTTTTTAAAAATCTAATTTTGCCTTAAACAAACCTCATTGTGGACACATTTTAAATGTGACTGCCAAATGTGCTGGACAGCAGTCTTGTGCTGATGCCTATCTCAAATTTTAGATGATTGAGCAGAGCAGTGGGATTAACTTCCTTTTTTTCTATTTAGGCCAGTGCCGAAAGAGAAATCCACTGAGAAAAATCGCACTGAATGAGTTTAAACTTAATGTGCTTATCTTGTTTGAAAACCTTTCATTTCACAAAGTTCTGGGTGGGAAGGCTGATTTGTGCACCGTGACAGGTTAATGATTATCGAGCTCTATCTGTCATTTTCTCCTCATTTTACTTTGCTTCTTGTTATTTGTGCCGCAGATATCTTGACACAAGACATCACAAAAAGATCAATCTCCTCTCAAGTACACAGCTGAGCCCCCGGGAAGCCGTTTTAAGACGTATTGCACTCTCATTCTTTTGGGGATATGATTCTTTTTTGTTGCTGTTAACAAGTTACAAGTGCTTCATAGCCAAGAGAAATGAATACCGAATAACTGGCAAGGATCAATAAATCATTATGTTTAGTCATTGGGCTGAATAGAGAATAAATGACAGTCGAGGCAATTAAGAATAAAACGAATAAAAGACAAAAATTGTGCTTTATCGTCAGTGGGAAATCTTTTTTAAATGCATTTTGGAGGTGATTGGAATGATTATAACTCTGGCAGCCAGATGCAAAAAAAAGAAAGAAAAAATCCTCAGACATTACAGTTGCAAATAAAACTGATGCAGTCTGAGGTGAACCGTGTTGGAAACATGTTTTGTTTTTGTTTTTTTAATTGAAAAGTGTATTTATTTAATCCCCGAGTGTTACACAGGGGCACCTTTCATGCGGTGGTGTCACTGTAGAGAAAATAACAGTTAATCCCATGTCACAGACTGTGAATCCTAAAGGGATCCTTTCAGTGCTCCAGAACCTACCATCCCCTGACAAAACACAGTCCCTTCTGGCGCTAACGGCTCCCCGGCTGTGACAAATATGGTTTGAGAAAGCCGGGAATAAAAATGAACACCACTGCAGTTCTTTATCCCGCCCCAGGTGAGAAGATGGGGCGGCGCTTTGCGCGATTTGATCCATGTCGAGCTGTAAGTGGATTAAAAAGATCCATTGATTCTCCCCTCCTTCTGTTCGCACATCACACTGGCGCAATTCATTGAAATGTTCCAAAATCTTTATTATCTGCCAAACTATGCGTGAACTTTTGAGCCTTCCATGCTGACTGGCAGCCACTCCGCACCGACTGTCCTTTAAATAACTTGCAGTTTTGCCAGAAATGAGAACATATTGGCAAAATTCGTGTAAGTGGGCTGTGGGAACAGTGCTACCGTGACACCCTCATACTGTGAACATTATGTGGCTTTTTGAAAGCAATGAATTCTTCTTCTTCTAAAAAAAAAAAAAAGATCATGTTTTCATAAAAGATTTTGTTAGCAGCTCTGGGGAAGCCAAATCTCATCTGAATGACGATCGCCTGTCGATGCATTACGTAATATTGACATTTACTGACCTCACTCTACCGGAGGAGCTTCTTATTCTCTCCTCTGCTCCTCCTCTCCGAGCTTGTCTTTTCTTTTTCTTCTTTTTCATATTATGGAAAACTAAGTTAGTCAGATAGAGGAGTGAGATTCAGCTGAAATGTGTAATGGTGTGAGAAGCTGAAATGTCTTTGCATCCTCCGACATCATTAAGTAGTTATAAATGCAAGCAGTAAGAGGGTGTTATGGATTGGTAGTTTTTCGGAAATTACAGAGAGTATATGAAAATAGAGTGAATGCTACAAAGCCACAAATCTCAGCACATTCATCATGAAGTTACAGCAATTGACCGCTGACACTATCAAGCATAAACAGATATGGTTGCTTTGGGCTCTGAGATTAAAAAAGAAAAAAATCTGATTTATTGCCTATTAGAGGCCCACCAGAAGCTTTTTAAGGGATTGTTTGCTCATGTAAACTGTGGCAATTCAGGGAAAGCTGAGGTATACAGTTTGTGTTAACTAAGAGAGCAATATAACTTTTACTATTTAGGTTCAAATAAATTTTATGTGTACATAAGTCAGTAATGGGTTTTCTTTTAAAGGCAGTCAGGATTAAAGTTTGGGGGTTTTATAGTAATTCAAATAAGTCCCACGACCCCCCTCAATTTTTCCTCTGCAGGAGTTCCAGATTGCTGAGGTCCAGGGAAGATTTTGTCAGTGCCAACTGGGAGCACCTGGACCCTATGTTCCCAAACTGTAAAGATGTTGTTGCCACGTCTTTCTGTCTTTCACTCACCTGCCTGTCTGCTAGCATGCTAGTAGTCATACATGTCCATACCACTGATCCCACCAGTTTCCACATCTAATTAGATTTGCATTTAATGTAACCAAGTTTTTTTTTTAAGTTACTTTGTTGAAATGCAAATAGTGTGCCAAGCCTTTTTGTTGCAGCCTTACGAGTTAGGCAGTGACAAACTGGGGGCTCGTCCGGGATTCAGACGCGGGACCTCATGTTTAAACTGAGAATCATGTCTCTGTATTAATCCTTTAAGCTAAACTTGCAGTCATGTAAAAAAGAAAGTTTTTCAAATGAATCTCTGCAGTCCTGTGAAAGACGTACACCCTATGATTCAATAGTTTGATGAGCCAGCTTTAACAGCAATAACTTAAAGTAATGGTTTTCTGTATGACTTCTTATCATTATTTCACATCAGTGTGGAGGAATTTTGTCTCACTCTTCTTTATGCTGCTTCAATTCAATGAGGTCTGCAGACATTTTTTATATACAGCTCTGCTAATGTATTCAGTATTTTAATCAGGCTGAGGTGTGGACATAAACTGGGCTATTGCAACACTTTGATTTTTTCCTTTTTCAGCCATTCTTCTGCAGATCTGCTGTTGTGCTTGGGATCATTGCCCTGTTGCATGACCCAGTTTCAGTCAAGCTTAAGGTGTCAGACAGACAGCCTCACATCTGACTCTCGAATACTTTGGTAAACAGAGGAGTTCATGGTCAACTCAAGGACTACAAGGTGCCCACGTCCTGTGTCTTTTCCTCTTAATTCCTATGGAAGCAGTAAGGGCGTATGTGATTTTGCACAGAGCTGCACAGCAGTCCTGTGTATGTGACTTTTCCCCCCACATGATTATACTTGTACAATGCATTTTGTCTAATGAGCTTTTCATGTGATTGCTTTACATGGTGTCGTTACTGTTAGGTGGCTGAGTTGGTGAATTTAAATATATGAATTCAAGTATACTATGTGTGCAAAAATCTGAATCTTGAAAGTATAATCACTTGTACTTCTGTGCAGTAAATGTGTCTCAATTCAAAACTAGAGAAAAGACAGTAACCTTGGTATTGATGTAATCCATTTTTTAATATACTTGGATAAGATGATTCATGGTTACTTGTCAAAAATAAGAAGTAAAGCCAAGACTTTCAGGAGCCGAACTATGTTATCATGGACAAAAAGTTATTAGAGCAAAGTTTCTTCAACAAGACAGGGAGGGTCTGTCTATTAAATTCAATTTTACTGGACTTTGAGACCTGATTATGCACCACTGAATCTATGTTGAGTTACAATATCTAACTTCTTATCTGGCTAATGATACAGACGGCAACTTCACTGAGCTCCCAGCATGAGCACACAGTGAGAGGCAGGGGGAAAAAAAATGCTTACTGAGTTCTTGCAGTTGCTTGAGTTGAAGTACTTCCTCCTCTCCCTCCTCCTCTCCTGAGCTGAAGTGCAGGGAAGAGCCTTCCAGCATAAACCAGCCCATCCTCCAGTAGTACAGGTCATGACCTTCTTTGTAGTGGAGTCTGCCAATCAGTTCACTCTCTTTCCGCACTAGTCCCTCGACTTTAGGTGGGATGAAGCACTGCGGATCCGATAAGTAAACAAAAAGGAGTCTTATTTATTAGGAATGTCTATAATTAAAAACACTGGCAGCGGCCAGTGCTACCCCTCAGCCTCCTAGTACTTGCATTGTTATTGCAAAATATTACATTGACAAGATTTTCTGAAAACTTGACCACTGACCTCTAACCTTTGGGTCAAGGTCACTGAGATTCAATATTTTCTGAGATTTTTAGTGGATACACCTGTGTTATCAGTTTCAAAATCCTAGGTGACGTCCCTGTCAAGAAAGATACATCCATGATATAAATTTGAAACTTCTATGTTGCTTTGCTCTCGACTGCCCGGCAGGGTGACGACAACAGCCTATTTTATGTTTTTATTTTTTAAAAATGTGAAACTAATAGCACAGCTGAAGCCTCATTTTCCTTAAACAGACACCCGTAGACACATTCACTGCTACTCTTTAGACACTGTTCTGTAATTTAAGCAGAAACACTCAACTGTGCCTAGGTCTAAAAACGTATTGATTACAGATGTGTGTTGCAGTGTCCATGATTGGGTTTCCTGGGAGTTGAGGATAAAACAGGGACAGGTTTGTGTAGTGTTGAATGATTCTGTCAGTACGTGAGGGAAGGGAAAGAGAGACTACAGCTCTTAATGAAATAAGCAAAGGTAGGTTGAGGCTCACTGAAGACACAAAGAAAATAATTGTTTACGAGTGTCATTGTGCACTGTATCTGCAAACTGTGTCACCTTTGTTAGCGCCTGGATCCAGTCATGCTGCGTTTCCTGTGTTTCCACTCCGAAAATCAGCAGTCGCTCCGTCTGCAGGTACAGCTCCACGGTAAACACAGCCCTGCCAGAGATGCACAGCTCACTATCAGATACGAGGAAAGGAAAACATCCTAACAGACGCACACAGAAAAACAGAAAACGGCTAACGAAGCATCCAAATCTAGCTTCAGTTTTCACACAACCGATACATATGTTAAATCCAGACAGATCTGCTGGGCAGCTTTCCTGAAGCAGCTGAGAGTCGAGTGCCTTTCTAAAGGCCACTTCTGTTTTACATTCCTCTACCAGATTTGTTTAAGAGTGGCGAGTTTGTTTATTCACCACTCCTATGGTGCTCTGGCACACAAGTTCGTTAGTATTTAGCCTCTATAATGTTCTATATGTGGGATCTTTGCTGTGCTCTCAGTGCCTCAGACTCGTTGCAGAGACACACTGCCAACGTACAGATACCGGTCATTTCTTTATATTTTGTTAGCTTTTCTATGCATGAATGATTCAAAGGTCAGTTTTAAGTGGCTTAAAACACAAATTTAAAAAAAATCATTCCTCTATAAATGGTTAGGTACAAGGACTGGAGCAAAAATGGGTTAAAAGCAAAAAAGTTTTCATTAATTTCAATGCATTCATTTAACATTGCCTTGTGGTGCTGTAATTCATTAAACCACACATAAAATTTCATGTTCCTGTCTAACAAAGGGGTCAAACAGAAACTGGTACAAATAAATACATTCCTTCAAAGAACCATTACTAATTGCAAACTGCGAAAACCATTAAAGTTGTTTTACTGCAAACTGGAAATGATTACCAAAAATGTTCACTACAGCACAGTTCAAACAGACTTTGGCTCATGTGTGGCATCTGTATTTAGTGTTTTTCCCAGCATTCTATACTTTTAATGCGAAACACACTTTATGAGGCGTTATCCCACCTTACGTGTTGACGCAAATGCCATCGGCAATCTGTAAATCAAGCAACAACAAAGAAGCCCCCCCCCGCGTATATCACAATCACAAGACTTAATTGGATTTCACCCACCAAGCTCGACTGTCTACATTAAGAGGACAGCTTTTATAAAATTAGGAGCAGTCGGTTATTTTAACAACATTTAATAACAATAAGATTCTTGTTGTGATCACTGTACAGGTCTTTGCTTAAATGTGTTGCAGATCAGATCATCGGTGGATATTCACCTGCCTGAAAACATATTTGAGCATAAAAATTGAAGGTGTGCGTGCACCAAACACGTGAAATGAAAAAAAGGAAAAAGAGAAAAAGAATAGGCAGTATGCACTCATCCATCCCCACACTCGCAGGTAAAACCCTTGCTGTCGGCAACCCAAAGGCAACTATTAATCTTTGTTGGTCTTTCTCTTCCTGTTGTTTCTGCCTCCATCTCCCTCAGTGAAGGTGCACGGGTCAGAGTATCACTCGCTTAATGGTCGGTACATACTGGCGAGCAGTAGTTCCCTTTCTATTGGTGCGCTACAACGAGGGCAGCTCTAAATGCTACAGCGACGGCTGTTTAAGGTTGCGTGTCGCTGGGGTCACGGCAGCGCCAAGCTGCTCGCTTCTAAAGCGTGTCAGGGGAACAGGAGAGACATGGGTGTTTGTGCGCTCTTTGCGTGACCTGGCCCTCCCCCTTTCCCTGCAATCCCCCCCTGCTGCCTCCGCGCTGGGAGGCTTGCAGGTGCTTGTTACAAAGGGGGTCCCAGAGGAAGTGCGAGGGAGAGAGCGGCGCGGGCGGGGTTACCTTGATGCGCTGGAGAAAATTCCTTTGTAAAGAAAGGACAAGAGAGAGATGAGAGATGAACGCTGCATCATGAGAGTCCCAGAGGGAGGGAGCGGCTGAGGGGGAAGAGGAGAGAAAGAAACAGGAAGCAAACTAGAAGGAAGGAGAGACAGAAAGGTGTTGAAATAATGATGTGAGCAAGAACATGAGCTATAAGAAGCAAACATGGGTCACTGTTTTGTGTTGTACATGGCATCAGTTTGAAACGGTTTGTCCCCTATGGACCACCTCACGGATAAACTTTATCTGCACAACAGCAAACTACATGTAGTTATCAAACTTTATGCCTTTAAAAAAAGTTGATGTGGACACCAGTTTGGTGGGAGAACTCAGCTTAAGGCAGTAAGATGGTTTCTGCAAAAACCTGCCTTTATTAAACGGTGATCAGAATTCGGTCCTACCTGCCCTGGTACAGGGTGCAGCATTTGTTCTCATGGAGCAGAGATCTCTGCAGGGATATTTCTGTCCTTGCTGTTGTTTAAATTTAAATTTAGTTTGAAAGTTTAGCTGTTGTGTAACTTTCAGGCAGGGGAAAAGAGTCACTAGGTTGGTTATGCACTGTAACAAAGGACAAAAAAATGATACAGATCACAATCACACTGCAGCAGGCGAGCGACACACGAGGTAACAAGCACACGACAACAATAGAAACACTAATTTTAGTAAAGATTTTACTTTGAAGTCACTCATTTTCCTCTGTCCTGTAGTGGGATTTATTCATAGACTGCGAGATGACGTGACTTTGAGATTTCTTAAAAGGGGACCTCTTATGGTTACTTCCAACTATATTCCTTTTCTTTGTATCTGTGAGAGCAGCTTTGCATGATTCACAGTTCAAAATAATCCTCGTCTGTCCCATACTGGGCCCAGCTTAGTTAGTTCATCCAGCGTCATCTACTTTTAGGCCATTGTTTGGCTCTCGCAAACAGAGGTTTTAACAGCAACTGTGTGGCCTTTTTGTCCTCACAGCCTGTGCTGTGTACCTGAAATACCCATATTAGAGATATCTGCACACTCTGGCTGTTTCGTTATAGCAGTCTGGACCTGCCTCACAGGGATTCCTTGCACATACACCACGCTTAATATTGTAACCGTCTATTATTCTAGCAATATATACACATATATACCAGAAAAAAGTAGTTAGCCCGATGCCCTCACAGCAAAAAGGTCCCGGGTTCAAATCCA